CCAATATAGAAATTCACCTCATTCCCTTCGCTCAAATTTCCAGTAAGTTTCGCTAATCACCCTTATAGGAGGAGCTGTGTTAGTCCAGGTAGACTAGAGAAACAACTCCAAGGACACTTATGTGTATAAGAGAGAGTTTAATATAAAGGGTAATTGAACATTAAGAAAGCATCCCAACTCCGTCCAGTGCAAGCCCATAAATCTGATATTAGCCCATATGTCCAATACTTGTCTATAAAGGCCTCTTCAGATTCATGAAACACATGCACTGACACTGAATGCAGGACGACCACAGGCTAGTGGTAGAAAGTCTTTGGATCCAGTGGCGTTGTAAGCATCTCAGCAATGGCAGGGATCTCCACCTGGTTTTTCCAGCACCCAGGGCTGCAGCAGGGTAGGTCCATGTGGCTTCTCCTCAGGGATGTCTCACAGGAAGTAAGACTTGTCAGTAGAGAGTCTCCAAGTGTTGAGAGAAATAGTGTCTACTATCTCCAAGAAGGAATATAGGATTTTCCAGAATTCTCAGGAGAAGACCATGCCCATACAGCGGCCTCGTTGGCTATGATCCAATTGACAGACTAGACTCCACCCCTTCACTCATAATCCTCTCAAGTTGACACCACATTATGTAACTACCTGGTTTTGGTATCAGTGTTATGCCTACATCATAAATGACTTCTGGAGTTGGCTTTCTTTTTTTTATTCTGGAATAGTTTGAGTAGAATTAGTGTGAGGCCTTTTCTGAGTGCCTGGTTTAATTCCCTGGTGAAGTCATCTGGTCCTGGACTGTTCTTGTTTACTTTGATGAACTGATCAGTTTCTTCGTTTGCTATGGTTCTGTTGAGTCTTCTACCTCAGGCTGTGTGAACTTAGTTAGGCATTGTGCTGCTAGAATTTGTCCATTTCATCTAACATTTCAAATCCATTGGAGTATAGTCCTTTACAATATTGTTTTATCATCTTTTAAATTTTCATTTGGTTCAATTATAATGATGATTTTTTCATTTTTTATTCTTGATATTTACTTTTCCTTTGTTAAGTTTGACAGTGGTTTGTCAACTTTGAAAATCCTTTCAAAGTACCAACTTCTGGTCTTGTTCATTTTTACTATTGTTTTTCTGTTTTCCTATTCTTTTATTTCTGCTCATATATATATATATATATATATACATATACATATATATATATTTTTTTTTCTTATAGCAAGTAAAGACTTACTTTGTTGCTCTTGTTCTAATTGTTGCAAATGCTGGGATAAAGTACTGTTTCCATTACACCTTTTTTAAATGTGCAAGCTTATTGCTATAAATTGCCCTTTGAGCACAGCTTTGTTATATATGGTAGTATTTTTGTTCTCATATATGTTTCAAGGAATTTTAAAATGTCATTATTTACTCAATTACCAAGTAGTTTTTAAGCAGGTTGTTGTTCAGTATTTGTATATTTGGTCCCCACCCTCTCTGAGCTTTTAGTTGTTGATTTCTAATTATATAGTATTGTGCTCTGAAAAGATGGTTTGTAATGTCTTGATATTTTAAAATGTGTTAAGGTTTACTCTGTGGCCATGTGCACTGGGAAAGAAAGCATACTGTGCTGTTGTTGGGTGGAGTCTCCTGTATATGTCGAGGAGGTCTAGTTGGTTCATTGTATTGTTATTCTTCAAGATTAGAACCTAGAGATTTGCCTTCGAGCTCATGGATTCGACTTTCCATTGCTTTAATTCTTCTGCTTTGCTCTTTTAAAGTATTGTTGAATTCTATTATCTTACTATTAAGCTACTGGATTTCTATTTTGTTGTTATTGTTGTAAAATTTCTAATTTTCCTATAGCTCTCTTGATCCTTTTCTCCATCTACCGAGAGTATCTGAACATTATTCTTCTGAATTCTTTTTCCAATGCCTTTTATTCTTTAGTAAATTCCTTTGCCTCTATGTACTGATTACATGTTTGTACCTATCTTTTGCTTGTTCAGATGGGCTGAGCTTGCCTGCTGTCTCCTTTACATGTTGTAGCTGTTAGGGGTTGGAGGGTAGCTGAGTCATGTGGGGACATTTGACTGACAAGTGGTACAGGAAAGGAATGATAGAAAACACAGAACAAGAAGCAAATAAATAAACAAACAAAGTAGTGCTGTTTGGGTAGGCTGTCCCTTCAGTTCCAGAGAACAGTGGGGGACATGCAGCTGGCGTTCCTTTTGTGTGCTATTCCAGTGTGCTCTCCTACCTAGCAGGTAAAATGAGCTGTGGGGAGTTTGTCCTTGGCATCCTTTTCCTGTAGCTGTGCTAATTTAGGAAGGAGAAAGGGGCTTTGTTGTTGTCGTCCTTAGCTGCAAGCCCTAGGCAGTAGTGGCATTGCAGTAAGGAGTGGGTTGGTGCTGCCATAATGGCCAGCCACACAGGGTCAGTGAGGAATAAAAGTTGCAAAAGAGAGAGAGAGAGAGAGAGAAGAGAGAAGAGAGAGAGAGAGAGAGAATAGAAAAGTAAAATGTCCCACATGAATCTTGTAGTCCCAGTTCACCTGCTAGCTTGTGGGCTTCTACCTCCTTAGAGTTCTTGAGTCCCCTGAGGAAACAGTGTTAGTTCTACCCCTGCTCCACACTCCTTCCAGGCAAAGTGGATCCATCCACCCCCCCTTCTTTTGTCTGCACCCACAGCCTCTGTGGTGTGGAGAATATTGGTATTTGAATATAGCCATTTCAGTTCACTTAGCTATTATCTTGTCTTTCAAGATTCTGATTTTTCTTCCGTGTTTGCTAGGTTCCTGGATTGGGTTTCTAACATAGTTCTTGCTTTGTGAAGCTGAAAGAATTCACGCAGCAGAAGCACTTTTGTAATCCAAGTGAGTCTTTATGGAAGAAAGGGAAAGTTTCGGGTATTACAGTCTCGGAAAGATACATGCTATTTCTGGAAAGTGTGCCAGGCTGCTGGAAGGCCTGCTAGGGTTTGCAACTGGGTGCAAAAAACCACGTGGAAAGAATACAGGAACAGAGAGCTAGCGACCAATGAATGCCTGCAAAACTGGGGAATGCCCAGGATAAGAGGAAGTGCGCCCACAGGCCCTGAGGGGGCAGGTGCATGCGCACTGCGCACTCAGGAAGCCCTCTGCTTACAGCATGCTCCTGAGCTACAGCAGAGTAAAAAAGGCACTGACGGTGGGTCACGAGCGGGTACCAAGAGCAGGTGCCAAAAGGCATTCCTGGCTGTGCGCCTGGCTCTTATTCTGTCCCACCCTGCTGGCTGGGGGAAGTGTGGGTGAGGGCATTGGCCATTCCTACTGGCTGAGTCTAGGCCCACCTGTTTGATGTCATGTGGCTGGGCCTAGTCTGTGTGCACAGGTAGACTTCCCACCTGGGCTCAGGGGGCTGGTGTCTGAGGATGCTCAGCTTGGATCTTTCCCATAGGTGTCTTAGTGTGCCCAGTCTCTTTCCAACCAGGGTATTGGGGCCCAATGCAGGCACTGGGGAGACAACCCCCTTTGTCCCTAATCTAGCGACCTAATACGTGGATAGTATCTGTGTTTGTTGTAGAGAGATTTTTTCTGTGCATGAGTCGAGGCAGCCATCTTGACCCCCATTATACACTTTTATGAACTATTTATGAAACCAAATTGAAAACTGCACCTTGAAAGATTACACGTGAAATTTAGGGTCAGTGAGTTTACGTTAGTGGTGGAAGAATAGCTCAGAAAAGTTGGCTGAGAACAGTTATACAATTTGAAGCATGTAATTAACGTCATTGAATTTTCATGTAAGAGATGTTGAATTGGTGTATGTTTTGCTCTACATATTCTAAGCAAAAACAACAACTTAAAACTTCTTTTAAAGAAGCAATGAATAAACTCAAGCTTTTGAGCCTGAAGTATTGGCAGAAATAGGAAATCCTGTAGGCGAATATCTTTTTAAAGATGAAATAAGTTTAGTTTGGGCATATGGAGTTTGAGGAACACTTGATATATTTAGGTGGAATTGTTTGGAAGCTAGTTGAAAACTTTAGAGATATGATATTGGAATAAACAATGTAATTATGATAACCAAAGTAAAGTACTATAAAATATAGGAAAAAAGGAGGGTAAAGTTTGGAAGCAACAGGAGTAATGAATATATACTGTTGTTCAGAACAACCTAAGTGGAATTAGTTTAGAAAATAAATGGTTCCTAGGTTAAGAGAAAGAAAACTCTAATGGAGAACAATTTTCATCTGGCGGATTTGCCACAAGATGGAATTGACCTGAGACCACCGGCGTTTCATGCCAAGTAGTTTCTAAAGCTGATGTGCACCCTGCCCTACTTAATTGGCATAAATCCCTATGAATAGATAGCCATTTTATCCTCAATTCACAAATGAGGTAACAGTCCTGGAAAGTTAAGCTTGAGACCTCAAAGCTGGTGAAGCAGAAAAGCTGAGATATGTTCATTTAAGGCATATTGGGTGGAAGACAATCCGACTGGGGGCAGCCTTGCCCACAGTGGGCTGCTTGTGTACCCTTGGACAAATCCATTAAGCTGAGCTCCCTGAGCCTTATTTTACCTTTCTGCTAATTAGTCTTACTTTTCATTTCTCAGAGGAAGTTTGTAAAAGTGTTGTGTGTGTATGGGTTTCTTTGGGGGTAGAGAAGGGCTAGGGGGAGCATGCATCATAGCTGAGAAACAAGAGGACATCAGAGTTCCCCTGGAGAGGTTATAAATCGGATTCATCAAAATCCAGGACAAGGATTGGGCCACCTTAACTAGTTCAGTGCTTCTAGACATAGAACATGAGAATTTGTCGATCTTATTAGACTAAAGATTCTGATCCAGTAAATTTGGCGGAGGAGGTGGGAGACAAGTCAGAAGTGATGCTGCAGTCGTGGATTTTTGGAGGGGGGGCAGGGGAGGAGGCCTCAGAATCTGAATCTCTAACAAACTGGCATGCACATGTATTTGGCTTTGTTCTTTATTTTGGAGATCTCGTGTGCAGAGGGAAAACATTAACACACTTTTTTGTTTCCATTTTCTCTTCTAGTGGGGATCCTGATAGATGTGACATCTGGGGGAATACTCCTCTACACTACGCTGCCTCCAATGGCTATGCCCACTGTGTCTCATTCCTGGTCAACTTCGGGGCTAACATCTTTGCCCTTGACAATGATTTTCAGTCTCCACTGGATGCTGCTGCCAGTAGGGAACAATATCAATGTGTTGCTCTCTTGGATAAGGCTGCCACTACCCAGAACATCATGAACCCCAAGAAAGTGACCAGGTTGAAGGAGCAGGCACAGAAGAACGCCAGGAGGCAGATTAAAGAGTGTGGGAGGCTTCAGGAGAAGCATCAAAATAAGATGGCCCGTACATACAGCAAGGAGGACTCTGGGACACTTTCTTCTTCGAAGGGTACCTTCTCTAAGTCATCCTTTTCACATGCTTCTGCTTCCAGTACCTTTGGATCATGGTCAAAGGGCATTAAAGATACTTTCCATTTAAAGTTCAAGAAGAACAAAGATACAGCAGAGCAGGTAGGCAACGAGAGCAGAAGTGGGCAGAGAAACGTGATGGAAGTGTTTGCAGAGGAGGAGGAAGACTCCTTCCCGGAGGACTTCAAAGATCAGCTCCAGTTGTCAGCAAAGGAAGACAACCATGGACAACAAGAATCCATTCTCAACCGTCCAGGTCTAGGGAGTATAGTTTTTAGAAGGAACAGAATACTGAGCCCCGAAGAAATCTTAGACAGGAAGAGGGAGTCGGGGCTTCAAATGCCCAGTGAATTGTTTCAGAGACAAGAAACAGCAGAGGCTGGCCAAACTGAGGCTGATGAAGAGGGAGAGGAAAGTGGCCATGACGATGACCTGCCTTGGGATAAAGACGAAGTGGAGTGGGAGGAAGATGTGGCTGCTGCTACTCCCCTGGAAGTGTTCTTGCAGTCCCACCACCTGGAAGAATTCCTTCCTGTATTCATGAGAGAGCAGATTGATCTAGAAGCTCTGTTGCTTTGCTCAGATGAGGACCTTCAGAGCATCCAAATGCAGCTGGGTCCCAGGAAGAAAGTTCTTAGTGCCATCAACAGAAGGAAGCAGGTGATCCAGCATCCTGGGCAGCTGCTTGACACCAGCCTCTGATGGAGAGTGTCGGCCCAACAGAGGAAAGCCTCCAACAGTGAGGTGATGGTATAGCCCGTTGGAATTACTGAACGCTTCCTTTGGACCCAAACCCCTCTGGAAAGTTTCTAGGTTGTTAGAGTTGCCTGTGTAAGAAAGAAACTCGAGTCTACACTGGCCACACCCCGTGTTCATCCAAGTAGACCACCAATGAGAAACTCAGAGAGACTTGGGAACAAGAAAGTGGTGTCTCTGTTCAATAATCTTTTTCTTATTTTTTGAATGATAGTGAGCAAAGACATGCTTTTGCCCCTCCATTCTGGACTTAATTGATTACTATATTCTTTTATCATACTACTCAACTGATTAATTTTGATTGTCACAGTCTGGGGCTTCTAACCCCCTTCTGTTCTTAGTTCTGTGTTTGCCTGTTGGTGATTAAAGTTCTTCTATCGGCATAGCTCGACGTCCAGTTTAAATGCATCTGTTTATCTGTTTATGAGTAGTACAGATGAGTCTATACTATCCTACTTGAGAACAGAGACAGATTGAAGATGTAGGGAATTAAGAGAGAAAGAAAACATAGGAAGTGAAGGAAGAAGGTGGGGACAAAAGGAGACAGGAAAAATGTGGCCTATTTTATGAGTTTTCTAAGGATAAGCATCTTCTGAAACTTACAAAAGGAAAAAACCCAACTATGTTTTCTGTAGAGAATATTACATTGCAAACGTTTTCATGTTCATTGTGTACATATTTTTTATTTACTGTTGAATATTTGAATGCATACACGCATACACACGTGTGTGCCTGCACAAGCACACACATATATGCAACCTTGACACTGACTTTAAATAATCACAAGATCTTTTTTTTTCACAGTTTACTGAGATATAATTCATGTACCCTACAATTCAATGATTTGAATTTGAATGTTTTTAATTGTGTTATCACCACCACATTCCATTGGAGAACATTTCCTTCATTATTTGTACTTATTGTTATCAGTTTCTCATTTTCCCCTATCTCCCTTGTCATAACCCTAAGAAACTATTACTATAGTTACCGTCTTTATAGATTTACTTATTATGGATTTCATATAAAGAAAATCATAGCCCCCTTCCCAAACATTACAAAATAAAACTGAAAAACTTCAAGCAAAAAATAATAAATACTAGAATAAATTCAAAATGGGTCAAAAGGAAAACACATGTTAAGATCTTAAAATTTAAGTTACCTATCCAAAAAAGGAAAAACTCACTGCGATGGAGTTGGTGCCGACTACTTTAATTCATGTTCTAGTGCCAAGGGAATGCACTGGAAGCTTCATTCCCGTGAGATCTCTGCAAGTGGATTTGGGGCCTTTACTGTCATCCACAACCTTCTGTAAACTGGGTGCTTGGAATTTAAGCCCTAATACAATTCCTTCTTCTGATCTGTGATTTTATTATTTCAAATCCTTGGAACACACAGGCTGAAGTGCTGCTTCCGTGTGGGCTTAGCTGACCTCTCTCACACGGATGCTAGTTTTAAGACACACTTTTAAGCTGCAAGATGCTATTTTGTTCTGATAGCTGCGGACTATCTGATTTCATCTTCACACTGTTATAACGCCCATATCTTCAGTGATTCCTTCATGAAGGTGAGTAGTGAGCAGGGCTGTTTCATAAGAATGAACTGTTTTTAGGTGAGGGCTTATGGTTAAGTGTGACTGCTGACATTGAATTTCAATGTCCTAAAATTGCTGTTGGAACCCTGTTGAATAATTAAACATCATCGAATTTTTACAGCTAGACTTTTAGACTTGCGTCAAATGGAATTGACCATCAAATATGTATATAATATAGAAACAGTTGTATAAGCGTGGGGAGGATAGAGATGCTGAAGTCTGGTGTACACCTCCTGATCAGAATAGTCAGGCCCTGACCTACTAGATACGCTCTTTGAAGACCAGGCATTTTCTCTTTTGGTCACTGGTGTATCCCTTATACCTAGTCCCAGCCTGACACATAGCAAGTGCTCAACAAATACTGTTGAACTGGATTAGATACCTGGGCTGGAAGGAGGAGGCAGATTACATCTAAGTCTAAGTGGTGCGGTGGATAGAGCATTGGATTACCAATCACAGGGTTGGTGGTTCATTGACGGCAGCAGTGAGTTTTGGTTTTGTCCTGAGTCAGAATCAACTCAATGGTAATGGGTTGGTTGAACTTTAGGAACCTGAGTAATCACTCAGTAATGCACGTGGCATCTGAGGGTGTCTCCAAGAATAGCTTTGAATTGCAAATTTTGGTCTCATTGCACAAATTTACTTTGTGCCTACTGCAAATTGAGAAAGTCACCTGTCAGGTTAGAAGAAAGTGTCTACACATATGACTCTCACACGTTTTAGTACACACTTCTCCATGAGTGTCTCAGCAAGCACTGTGATGCAGTTCTGTGGGTCCCTGACCTCTTATGATTTACAAAATCATTAAATGAGCGTTCTCCTGAATTTCCAGCAACAAGAATAGAGCCTCTCTCATGGAGCACCATGTTATAAAAGATGTTTATTCCATGTTAAAAAGTACTAAGAACTCTCGAGCTAATCCCAACCACAGAGGCTTAAAATAATATATTAAAGCAATATAAAGATTTTGACTAGAGCCAAATACAGAGGATTATGAACCAGAATGAATTTCAAATATTCAATGATCTCAACTTCCTTCCCTCAAAGTGGATGCTCAAAATAGCTCTATCTAATCTTATTGGACTAAATGTCCTTTAACTTAGTTTGCCTAACATAAAAATTGGCAAGGAAGGAACACAGCTGGAGGCATTTCACTGAAGAGAGGAGTTTGATGTGTTATGGTATGGTTAGTATGTCTTGCACTTATAGCATGTACTGTACTTATAAGTCACGCATGTCATAATTCCTAAATTGAGTCACTCTCCGTCCAGACCATCATCTTGAGCTCCAAATTCTAAAAGCCCAATGGTAAGATGACCCCCAATGGTAAGATGACCCCCAATGGTAAGATGACCCCTCTGCAGTGTCTTACAGGTCCCTCAAACTCAATGTGCCCCAATCCGGTTCTCAAACAGGGGCAACTTCAGCCCATCTCCCTAAAGATACCTCACAATTCTCTGGAGATATTTTTGAATTGTCATGAGCAGGTAGGAGTGCTACTTAACGTCTAATGAGTAGAAACCAGAAAATGTTGGTAAACATCTTATAATACACAGGACAGGCCTCCCCTCCTCACACCGACCAGAGAGAATGACCGGGCCTAAAAGGTCAATATGCCCCAAATTAAGAAGGGGACTCAATCTATTCTTCCTCTTTGGATGAGTGGCAAATGTAGCCCAGCATTTCTGCCCTTTGACTTCACTTGCAGTACCCACTCAGTCCCAGAGTCCTGTAATACAGCTCTTTTAATATGTCTGACATCTGAGTCCTCTTGTATGTTGACAAGCTCACTGCCTGGTTCATGCCCCTGTCACTAATCTCTTGTAGTGTCTTTCATTCATTTTTTGCTATGCTGATGGAGACATCTGTCTAATTTACAAATCTCCTGTCACCGTCTACCTCTTCGATGCTGTTCCAACTCTTAGCACAACACACGGCCCCGAGGATAGAGTCTTAGTCTCTGTGGTAAACTTCCAGTCTCATCTCTGACCATCTCTTCTTTTGCTTCCTCAACTAACAAACCAGATTTCTTCCAGCTCCCTGAATAGGTCATGTCTCTCCCATGCCTGTAACTTGGCATACCCTCATCCTTCTGCTTGGAAAACTCTTCCATGCTGCCTCTTTGGGGACGCTTTCCTTTGGAAGACTTCCCCATCTGTCTGGGTGAGGTGCTTTCCTAACCATTCTGGCCCCTTCAAAACCTCTCCTTGCTATTTCCCACCCTACACTAAACTCCAGATAATTGGCCCCTCTGGACCGCATCCACAGGGCTCCCTGGCTTTGGGACTTCTGGCTGGGTTTGATGAATGGAAGTTCCCTGAAGAAGATCCAAGAGTGGGAAGAAAGAGGTTGGGTCTTTGTTCTACCTGTTCCCTCCTTCCTGAGCTGATTGGCAGTGGGCACCTTCCTCCATCAAGTGCCACAACTCCTGCCTGGCAGCTCTCAGCTACAGCTCTAGATGGGTTCTACTAATACTCCTCTCACTCATTCGAACTTCTAAGTGGTAGCGGCTTCCTCCTTTCACCAGTCCTGGGGCGCTTCACTATCCCCTAAGTCTTCTCATTACCTTTCTCTCCATTTTGCAAATGGGCTTTGATTAAATCACCTTCAATTACCCACTTTGAGAGTGGCATCTTTTTTCCAGTCAGGATTCTGTACCATACTTATCTTTTTACATATGTCTTCTACATTGTGGGTCATTTTAGGGAAGAACTATTTCTTTTCTGCTATATCTTTGATGCCTTGCACAGTGTTATGATAGGGTTCTCCAGGGAAAAACACATTAAAAACAAAAAAAACTGCCATCAAGTTGAATCCAAGTCACAGCGACCCCGTAGGGTTTCTGAGATGAAATCTTTCCTGGTGCAGAGAGCCTTGGCTTTCTCCTGCTGAGCAGCTAGTGGCTTTGAACTGCCAACTCAACTTACAGTACCAAATAATCTCACCATCACACTGTTCTCTATCTGTCTCTCAGAGTTATGACCATTCAGATACCCAGGAAAACCCCACATTAATGAGAGTTGTGCAGAATCAGATCATACGGTCATTTTGTTCCAGGACAAAAGTACCTCTTCAGACAGCCTGGCAAACATGAGAAACTTTTGGCTATGTTGTTTGGCGCACGAGGAGACCTGCTAGCGGGGCATGGGTAGGAAAACCAAAGCAAAATAACATGTTCTCCTTTCTTGCTAACTCATCTGATAGCCGGTCAGGTGGTGGGGGTTGGGGTAGAAGTGAAGTCGTGGATTGGAGGGTTTTTTGTGGACAAGGGAAACACTGCTCATGATCCAGGGACCCTGGGGGAAGCCTCTTTATATTTGTTAAGTTAGAGCCCAGCACGAATATCACAGAACCTCTGTAGATGTTCCCTACTCAATATTGAGTTCTCCCTCTTTGGATCAGAAACCTTGCCTTGTCATTTCATGTGGTGGGCTGATCCTATCTGTCACTTCAAGGTTATGCATATGAGGTAGCCCTGGATACTCAGACCATATTATGGTTCAGAGGTAGGCACAAGCCCCTGCTGGGCTAAACAGTGTTCTATTTCAAAAGCCACGCTGCTACTGAGTTGGTTCTGATTCATAGCAACCTTTACAAGTTAGAGTAGAACTGCTCCTTAGGGTTTCTGAAAGTGTGAATTTTTAACTGGGAAGCTGAGCATGGAAAGGGGTAGACAGCCTCATTCTTCCCTCTTGATGCAGTGGGTAGGTTGAACTGCTGGCACATGTTAGGCTCAGAAACGGGCGCCTGATATAGATGGTGTAAGGAGTCTCTGTTCCAATCTTTTTTTTTTTTTTTTACAACTTAACTGTTAGGGAAAAGACTATTTCTGCGAGGATTTCACAAAAGGATACAATATAATCTTGGAGCTCCAATGAACTCTTCTTGCCACTATCAGAGGAAAGTTTGTTTGATTATGGGGACAACCCTGACGGAATCCCGATGACAGGTGAACCCTGGAACACAGTTGTGGCGAAAGCGAATTACCTTTGTACTTGGTTACAAGAGACAGTACATTCCATTCCTCAGTCCCCGAGCCATTTTCCTCCAGGTTGTGGGCTGTAGTCACTGTCACTTTTAACTGGAAAAATATTGGCTAATACAGAAACTCTACTGTTGCCTTAAATGTCAAAAACCAGACACAAAAAACCTACCTACAGTGTACGTAGAAAATGTGTATGCAATGTTGAGAAAGAAACAGGAAGTAGATTAGAGGTGGCTGGGGGCTTCGGGAAGAGGGGGCTGCAGAGAATGAACCCCAATAGGTGCTGGATTCCTTTTGGGGGTGATGAAAATATTCTGGAATTAGACAGTGGTGATGGTTGTACAATATTATGAATACACTAAAAATTCAGAGGTTGTATAAAGTTGAAAAAGTTAGCAAAGGAAAACACAAATATTTCCCATTACAACAAGTGGTAGAAAAGTGGCAAAAAGTGCAAAAGTTGCACCTTATCACAGGCTGGTGAGACCTGGAAAGAAGAGGCAATTCCATCAAGGGGCTTTCACTGTGAACGCTACTGAGTTACACTCTTAAAATTCTGAGTTTTAGGGTACTCCTGTGTTATTCTATAGTATAGTACTATTATATGTAATAATAATACTCCTGCATTATCATCTATATTAACACCCTTGTATTAATCAATTATTATGTCAATGTACAAATACAAAATTATAACTGTAGTCCCTTCTCAGGAGTGCATGTTCTCAACAAGAACAAAAATGACAAAGAGTAATAAGAGAAATCATGTGCAGACAAGAGAGGAGGGCCTGGGGAAACTGTTTTCTGTAAACCTTAAAAATATAGTCAATCACAAATGAAGCAGAATAAATGGAAGCACTTGACCTTTCTGACTTCCACTGCCCTGAGGAGCAGACGTTATTAAATAAATGCTTCAGAATTGAGCAACGCTTTTATTTCAAGGAATGCCAAAGGTAGCAAAAACCACAGACTTATCACCAAGTGTGACAGAAGAAATGGGCACGGGTGGGCTTTCCAGCTATGAACACGAATGGGGGTCTCGTTAAGATAAGACAGGAATAGAGCACAAGTATAGCTCATTGGGCACCATGCTCTCTAAATGTGTCTAGATATTGTGAGCTGGTCCAGGCGATATCCCTTGAGCTGTAGCATCCGTGTCAACACAAGGTGTCTTTGCTTTATTTACCAGATGACCAGGAATCATATACTAGTTTGGCTGCAACTGTGTCCTCCACCGCCATTCCTGTAAGGAACAGAAATCTGATTCACCTTTTGTCAGAATTAGGTCTTCCAGAAATAACCCAATCCCTCTGACTCGCAGGTTCCGGAGATGTTTGTTGTCCATATTTCCAAGGGGCAGATGGATCAATGATTATCGTGCTTTGTTTGGAGTTATGCCCGTAACAACTTAGGTAGCAATGGGGCTTCTTATGGACTCCCCAAAAACTCACCGTCCTTGAGTCGATTCCAATTCATAGCAACCCTTAAAAGATAGAACTGCCCCTTAGCGATTCTGAGACTGCAAATCTTTACTAGGGGGTAAGAGGGGCCAGACAGCCCCAACCTTCCTTCTCTCTTGAAGCAAGTTGGGGGTTGGAATGCTGACCTTGAACTTAACCCCACCAATGCTTCACTCATGGCACTACCCTGGCTCCTTTTTCTCACCGATGTGCTCCTCAAATCAGTAGATGAGAAGATAGAAAAGAAGGAAATAGGGCTCCAGTTGTCCTTCTGTCTGGGTCATATTTCAGAAGAAACACTTTTCTTCAGTTCCTGGTGTTTTAACATCTTTGCTCCCCACCCTCAGGAGAGAATATCTTCCGAGTGTCACTTAGACCTAAGACAAAATGATTGACTGCTGACACTTGATATCTGCAAATGGTTGACACCCACATCTCCATCCTCATGACAATCAAGGTGGTGAAGGAACCATGACTCAGAGAGGAGGAGTCACCTGCTTAAGGACACATGCCCAGTGAGTGGCAGAGAAAGGAATCTAATTCAGGAGTGCCCAATCCCAGAGTTCATTGGCTGACCCTCTACACAAAGACATGTGAATAATTCATCTGAGTGATGGATTTCACAATGATTCACCTCCGGAGCCTGATAAATCATTCCTCTTCCCACTGCTAGCTAGATTTGTGTGCCAGTTAGATTTGTGACCAGGGAGCCACAGCTCTTACCCAAAGACTTGAACACTGTGGTCTTCTCACACTGGGCCGGCTTCACGCCCTTCACCACTTCTCCCAGTTCCGCAAAGATCTCCGCCTGTGAAACACACACAGCTGACTGAGCCCGCAACACCGATGCCTTCCTGGCTTCTGAAGCCAGCTGAAGGCATCCCGGAATTAGTGAAGGGGCGGACTTGATAAAAATAGCACTTGTGAGCTGGATAACATGGGGCAATGCTCCCTGCACGTCACTCTCTGAGCACTCACTGGGTGCCACTGAGCTGACCATGTAGGGAAGGCTTTCAGGCTGCAAAAGGTTCTCCTATTTGATCTTCCTGCCCTAAAGACCAGCCAGCCCAGTGGAAGACTCCGTCAGCCTCCCTCTCCAGGCAAAGGGAAGAAAAAGCACATAATGTCACCCCCTGAAAGGTCCCACCATTCCAGAAGGGGTTTTAAAAGGAGCTGGTTTCTCCAAAAGAGGTGGGGGTGACCAAGCAGGTCACACAGAAGAAAAATGTTAATGGAATTTTGGGATGCCATGCAGGCCAACTGGGGCAGGAAGCTCACCCCGGACAAAAGGACATCCCCGGACTCTTTTAGGGCAGCCTCCTTGGAGTCCACGTACAGCACAGCTCGGTTCATCAGCTCGTTGTCTAGTTCTCTCCAGTCCGGCCTGCTGGCTCCAATGGCTGCAAGACAAGGAAGCAGACCTGAAGCGCAGCAGCAGCCTCACGAGAAAGGTGAGTAAAAGGAAGCGATGAAGGTCAAGGGGGTGTCCTCAGATTTGGAGCACACCCTCCTTTCCCTGGTCAAGTCCTTCCCAATCGGCAAGACTGAATATGTATTCCTAATCATCAGACCTACCATTCTTTCCATTCCATTTCCTCTCCCGCCTCGTTCTTACAGTAGCATTCGTGTGTGGGCTGCTTACTATTTGTGGCTTGTTTTACACATCCTCTCATCCGGGAGCCTCAGAGGTACAGCGGGTTAGGCATTGGCCTACTAGGGGTCCGCCGAGGACATTTATCCGGCCCACTGGGTGTTTTTCCCCCTTTGTTTTTTTACTTCAAAATAAGATATGTGCAGTGGGCATAGGAATTTGTTCATAGTCTTGTTTTTTAAACATCAGTCCAGCCCTCCAACAGGTCTGAGGGACAGTGAGCTGGCCCCCCCCCTGTTTAAAAAGTTTGAGGACCCCTGAACTATAAGGTCGGTGATTCAAACGCCCCAGCAACTCTGAGGGGAGAAAGAGGAAGCTGTTTGTTCAAGTACAGATTTACAGTCTCAGCAACCCTAGAGAGGGTGGCTAGGTGTCGGAGTGAACTTAAGGGCAGATGGTTTGTTTTTGCTATTTCTTACAAATGCACTTTCATGTTTGGTTCCCACTGGACAGATGTGGAAATTCAGGCTCCGAGCACCGAAGAGGCTTGCTGAGGAGGTTAGATGTCAAGGGAGTGAGTCGAGGTCTGGGAGAGCCGGGCTTTTCCCTCCTCTCCCACTCGCTGAAAGCAATGACTTCCTTGCACACAATTAGAAACGGCTGCATCACTTGGAACTTAACACCCACATTCCCCTCTGTCTGCTTGCTTTTCAATGATTCTTATTCCTCATCCCATCCCCAGGCACCTCTCTCAGCTCCAGACAAAAGAGCCCAGTCAGGGTCACAAAACAGTCCCAGTATAAATAAACCTGAATCTCTACTGGCCCCAGGTTTTCTTCAGCTCTGCAGGGCTTGGGGCCTGAAGGATGGCTGAGGGTATCCCTGCCTGCTGATAGCAGAGTGCAGGCTGGTGCCAAAACGGCACCCACAAGCCTTAGGGAGCAGGCGGGGAATGGAAGTGAGCAGAGTGGTTAGAGAGAGAGGAAGTCCGCCAGAAGACTGCGGCCCTTTCTCAAGGGGGACAGTTATTGTTCAACTCCAGCTAATAATGGCTGTCATGTGAGAATGCAAGCCCATTGCTATCAGACACTCCTTGTTTGTAAAAGAGAAGCAAGACATGTGTTTGCGTGTGAGGTTTTTGATTTTTAAAATCCACTAGGGCCCAAAGAAAACATAGCTGCTGGCTGGCTGTAGACCAGGACCAGCCAGTCTGTGGAAACTGCCATCAAGCCTCATGCCAATGTCTGCAGCCTTTATGTGCCCTCTCACAGCCCCCACTGCCTCCAGTCTCTCCCACTGTTCTCCTTTACTCTAACTTCCAAAGTGAGTGCTTTAAGAAAGTTCATTTTGAAGGGTGTTGCCGTGAGGAGTTGTAGAGAACAAAAGTACTAGCCTAATGAAGCTTGGAAATAAATCATCAGCTGGTGGGAAAAGTTCCAGCTTCTCAGGCCACCCCTTCTGGCTGCCCTGGGCACTCAAGACAGCCACTGTTTCCAAGCTGGCGAGCTGTCAAAGGTTGTGTGAGGCCATCAAGTAGCTGGAAGAGGTCCAGGTGGCCAAAGGAGGGGCCTGGTTCCGTTGGATCTCTGAATTAGTTTTCAGTGGGGGCCAGAAGGGCTCCGTTCCTGGGCGGTGCCAAAGAGTAATGGGATTGGCTGCTAACTGAAAGGTGTGCGGTTTGAGTCCACCCAGAGGATCGCCTGGTGGGAAAAAAAGCAGCCATTGAAAATCATACGGAGCTCAGTTCTGCTCTGATATTGAGTCAACTGGAAGGTAGCTGGTAGAAGAGATCAAGAGACGAGCAATGGTGGCAGGACAGGGAAGCTAAGAGTGGCGGAGGCTCTCTCTGATTGGGCCTGCCTCTCAGACAAGTTGGGAAGGAAGTAAAATCAGTCTTTACTGTTCCACGTGTGATGGCTATACTCGTAACACACTTTTCTTAAGACTATTTTAAGGACGATGCTTCTGCCTAACCCAATTTTCTCCCTAGGTCGGGCAAATAGAAGAGATGCTTTGCCTCAAAATCAAGTCACCCCTTCCCGGGGAAATGCAAAATGTGAGCGTGATTGGATGGGAGGGATAGGCTTTGCTTCTGGCTTTGAAGATGGAGGGTGCTCCTGGCAAGGAACCTGGGCCGGTTCTAGGAGCTAAGCCTGATGCCAATGAACTGGGAATCACCCTCCCTACTGTGTCCTGCTACACTCGTGAGAGCTTGGAAGAGGACCCAAAGTTCTAGATGAGATCACAGGCAGGAAAAACTTGGATTTCAGCCTTGTGAGACCTTAGGATACAGCCAACCCAGGCCTGCACTCCTGAGATTGTGAGGTTAAGAATCAGTTCAGCTTGATGAGGTTTCTCTGGGAAGCTGTTTCATCAACAAGTGGTTCCTCTTGAACCAAGGCCTTCCAGAGACTGTCTTCCTTAAGGTCAGCCCCAAGCCGCCTGCCAAGTGCATTAGCCTTTACATTTCCCAGGGGCCCCTGTGTTCAGCTGCTAACTGAAAGGCTGGAGGTTCGTGTCCACCCAGAGGTGTCCTGAAAGGTCTGGTGATCTACTTAAAAAAAAATCAACCATTGAAAAGTGTAGGGAGCTCAGGGAACTACCCTGGCCCACTTGAGGCTGACAGGAGTTGCAGCTGACCTGACAGCAACGTGTGCCTTGGTTTAGGCTCCCACAAAATGGAGGTAACGATGATAATAGCTCCTACCTTTTAAGATTGTTATAGAAATAAAATAATACTTACAAAAGATACGTAACAGCACCGACAACAGTCATTCCTTATCAACTATTTCTTGCGATCTCCCCCCTCCTCCAAGGTCATTTGAACTTCAGGAGCTCCAGGCCCTCACTTTTAGGTCCCCAGCCCCTTCCCACCACTCTTAGCACACATGAAATATCTTTTTAGTATAATTTTTCAACGAAGTTTTATGACTTGAAGTTTCATTAAGAACGAAGGACTTCTTTGGCTTTGGTGACTGAAGCGCTCTCACATTAAAGAAATGAATCGTGGTTGATCGTTTGGTATAACACCGCTTTTGACACCTCCTTAACTAAATATTAGTTTCTGGTTTGCCATTTTCTTTTTGTTGTTGTTGTTTGCTGTTTTCATCATGTCTTTTAGAGCCAGCATTTATTATCCATTTATTTAATTCTCAGTCACACACACGTTGGGTCCCACTGAGTTGAGTGATTACTAGCAGCCCCATAGGACCAAGGAGAACTGTCTCATAAGGTCTCCTAGGCTGCAATCTTTATGAGAAATGAGAATTGATCTCCCTCACCCCCCCAGGGAGTAGCCGATGGGTTCTAATTATGACCTTTTAGTTAGCAGCTGAGGTCTTAACCATTTGTACAACAAGGCTCCTTACACGTTTCCACGGGGGCTTGAAAAGCTTGGGATTTCTGTATCATGAACCAGACTGCTCTGCAGATAAAACTCTTGATCCCAGGCCAAGGAGGAGTCTGCCCACCACTCAGCTCTGGCTCTTGGGGTCACTCTACTTACCATTGATGTGGGCCCCTTCTTTCACCCATTCACCAAACAGAATGGGCTCTGTTGCCATGGTGACAGTGATGATCACATCTGCCCCTGTCACAGCCTCCTGGACCGAGGAACAGACCCGGACCTCTCCTTGCACCGTATTTGCAAACTTCTCCGCATTTTCCTTTGTGCGGTTCCATATCCTCACCTTCATCAAGGGGAACAAAAGAGCCGTTGGTGCCATGTGTTCAGGCTGTTTACATTATACCAAAGCCAAGAGTGCCCAGCTGAACCCCTCTGGGATCAAGGCTGTGGGTATTTAAATAATCTGTGGGGGAAAGGCCAGCCCCCAACAACTAATCGTGGGTTTGATAGGCGCAATTGTATGGTTGAAATATATATCTATATATTATAATAAAGCCATACAGAGCATGAGAGATAGAGGAGAGATTGAAAGAATGGAGCCAGACACATTTCATGATAGCATGCTCACCTCAGCCCTGCTTGGCGGTCCACGTGGAGATAGGGGGAGGGGGAGGAGGACAAGGGGAAAGGGAACAGGGGAGTAAGGATGGGGGAGAGGAAGAGGTAGCCGACCAGAGGCCAAAAGTGATCTTTATTGCTAACCCAGGCTTATATACCTTTGGGGGGCATGCAAGCACCCTAATTACAGGTAAAGACATACATCAAGGGAAGAGGTTTTACTATAGGTAACACAGCAATGAAGGGGACAATCTAGGGATATACCCACAATAGGAAGGGGAGGGATTGGGGGCACACAAGTGACAAGAAGGGTAGATCTTAGATTCAGGATGGCAGCCTAACTTTGGATGTCACTGAGCAGGTTTGAACCTGCTCTCTGGATCTCCATAAAAACCATTATCAGTAGGGTGTAAACCCCACCCATGGGACCAGACTACTGGTCCTAAGCCTTTAGGGAGAAGTAGCCCATTGTCCTTAACAGCAGGGAGTGGGCCCCTCTTGTGGTGGGACCACACAGTAGTCTGGCAACTGACTGCCTTCAGGGAGGAAACTTGACATTTACCTTTAGCTGCAAGCAGTGTCCTAAGTCTAACATCTATTTGGGGGAGATAACTTGGGAGAAATCTTTCTTTCTCACAATTCCCCCTTTTGTTTTATATATAAAAGAGCCACATGGGCGACATGGCTATTTTCTATACATTGAAAGCTGTCAAGGCAAAACTTCATGATCCAATTAATATAGCCAAAAATTCAGGCTTATAGCAAATATTTTGAATTCAGGCACGGGGGATAAAGTCCCCCTATGCCATCTGCTATTGGAGGAAGGTATGAGAGGGATTGGATGCCGTGGCAGGTAAAGATGGAGCCAATAGGAATGTCTGCTTCTGTAGGGAGATAGAATCAACCATTTGCTCACTTTAAGGCAGCACAACTTTAAGGAAGAAACTGTGGAAATGACAGACTACCACAGGAAAATGTACTCGGACTATATCTCCAACTACCAGAGTGGAAGTCTTCCTCCCATGAAATACTAGTCTTCCAGATTCCCTCTGTACCAGTCAGGGAATAAGTCCCAGTTTTATTTCCCTCAGTGCTAGTATCCCACAATAATCCTCTGTGGAAAACGGGCCTTTAATAACAGTCATCTAGGCAGGTGCCAATCTAAATGAAAATGAAGCCCAGTGCTGCCGAGTCGATTCCAGTGACCCGATAGCCCGGCCCAGGTTCTGAACGCTGCTGGCTTGATGGAAGCAGACAGCCACATCACCCCTTGGGGGGTAGCTCGGGGTTTCCACGCCAACCTTTCACTTAGCAGGGCAACCGTTAGCTACTGCCCCATAAGGGCTCCTGTCAAGGTACTTAAAAAGGAGCCTTCTTTATGATTGTCCTAGAAGACCCAAAACCAAACCCACCACTCCAGAGTCGATGGGGACCCACGGCAACCCTCGAAGACAGAGTAGAATTACTCCTGAAAGGCTGGAGACTGCAAATCTTTACAGGTGCAGACCGCTTCATCCTTCTCTCCCGGAGCCGTGAATGGGTTTGAGCTGCTGGTCTTAAGTCAGCAGTCCCAGGGTTACCCCACAGGGCTCCTTGTCCATCTTGTCTTAGCCCTCTCCCAGAGTGGCTGCCTGGTGGCTTTGAACTGCTGGTCTTTCCCTTAACAGCCCAGCACATAACCAACTATAGCACCAGGGTTTTTAAAAAAAATCATTTTATTGGGGGGCTCTTGCAGCTCTTATAACAATCCATACATCGATTGTATTGGGCACATTTATACTTACGGCACCTCATCATTTTCAAAATATTTGCTTGAGCCCTTGGGATCAGCTCCATTTTCCCCTCCCACCCCAAACCTCCCACCCTTACGGACTCCTGATAAATTATTATTATTTTCATATCTTACACCTCCCCTTGTCTTCCTTTATCCATGTTATTGTTGGTCGTCCCCCTGGGAGGTGGGGTTTGTGTGTCATTGTAGTCGGTTCACGTTTCTTCCCCTTTGCCCCCACTTTCTCCCTACCCTCATAGTATTGCTACTCCCTTTGCTGTTCCTGAGGCATTTATCTGTCCTGGATTCCATGTGTAGAAAGCTCTTATCCGTGCCAATGTATGTGCTCCGGTCTAGCCAGATTTGTAAGGTAGAACTGGGGTCATGATAGTGGGGAGGAGTAAGCATTAAAGAACTAGAGGAATGTTAGGAATTCTTAGTGGCTTTGATACTACCCTTTAATTAACCAAAGAGAGTAGCTGTAACATCAAGCATACTCTGATCTGAGAATCTGGAAAGGGGAGTTTGCCTGTTTCTTTCCTACTCCTTCCCTCCAATGGGACGGCTGGGGATGTCATTAAAGTAAAAGACTTGTCTGGATTGGACCTTGCCCTAATATTTCAGAGCAGCTCATGCAGCATGTGCAAGAGTTCAAAGGTCATAGTCACTCCCTCCCCTCTTCTGCCCAAACATCCCAGGACTTACTTCCTTAAAGGAGAATTGCTCTGAGAAGATCTCATAGTGGCTGTAGGCTTGGACTCCAGCTCCGAGGATGCACAAAACTTCACTGTTGGGGCGTTTCAAGAACTATTTGAAAGACATGAGGTAGCAAAGGTCAGAGGAGATAGGAACAGCCAACTGAAAGGTGAAAAACAAAGTTTGAGTAGCAAGAGCTTTTAAGCAATCAGAGACATCATTTGAGTGTCAGGTGCCTTCTGTGGAAAGAGGACAGAGGAAGGAATCCTCACTGAGCACCTAGCATATGCTCTTTCACACACACTATCTCATATAGTTCAGACAATAGAGCCCATGAGAGTAACTGTTGTTATGTTTGCACAGTGGAACAAAACACTGCTCAGTCCTGAGCTCTGCCCGTGATAGGCTGTAGATGGGACCACTGGGATCCAGAGGATCTTCCTGGGTGATTTTTCTTGGCAAGTCTGTCACCAGGTCTTTCTTCCTAATGTTTGCTAGAATCTCCACTTAAATCTATGGAGTATTATAGACATTGCTAACGTTGCTGATAGGTGTGCTTACAGTGTGCACTTGCTGCGAATGGTGGATGGAAGATGAGAATTCTACCACTGAACCACCACTGTCTTCCCCTAGTAGGCTTAACCCCCCACTGACATCAAGTCGATTCCAACTCAACCCTATACAGCCGTGGTTCTCAACCTTCCTCGTGTCGTGACCCTTTCATACAGTTCCTCATGTTGTGGTGACCCCCCAACCATAAAATGATTTTCGTTGCAACTTCATCACTCTCATTTGCTACTGTTATGAATCAGGAAACCCCTGTGGAAGGGTCATTCGCCCCCCCCAAAGGGGTCGCGACCCACAGGTTGAGAACTGCTGCTATACAGGGTTCCCATGGCTGTGAGTCTTTAGGGGAGCAGACAGTCTGAATTTTCTCCCTCACAATGGTTAGTGGGTGTGAACCACTGACCTTGTGGCTAGCAGTCCAATGCTTACTCAACAGTGCCACAAGGGCTCCTTACAGTAGAACTGGTGGCTGTAATAGGTAGGTTTATTGTGCCAAGCTGGCCAACAGGAACATGTGGGATTAATCAGGTCACAGTTTGATTGGAGGGCAAAGAGATACTGTAAATGGCTCAGTAAGGCCCACCCCTCTCTCTTGTTCTCTGTTGATCTCTCTGTTGATCGGGACCAGCATGCAGCTGCTTTAGCTAGTTCTCTGCCTCAATATGTGAGCTCCACAACCTGTGGGACAAGTCAACCGTGGATTGTGTCATTAGAGCTTGCGGTTCCTTTAAAACCTGCTTTGCCATGCTGCTCATGTGTACATTGCTGGAGCTTAAGGCTGGTGGATCCTTTCGTGTTGCATTGCTTGAGTTCGATATTCCATCCAGGTCTGCTTTGCTAAGCTACTGAGCTGCTGACTGTTGGTGACCGCCAGGCCCTCACCCCGCTGCTGTTTGCTGCCTGTGGGGGGACTCTGCCTGCATTGCTTGAGGGAAGATTCACCTGTCTGCTTACTTGACCTTGGTCCCAGCAGCCCTTGTGAGTTGAAGGACTTCCAGTATTGTTAGTTGAACTGAGCCCTCTGTCCTGATGTGTGGACTAACTAGCTGTTATATTCCTTTGCGCTGTATAAACCTATATATAATATAATCATAAGTGTCCTGGTTTTGTTTCTCTGGAGAACCCTGCCTAACATAGTGGCATATTATTATTTTCCCATTAGCATGTATGTCATTAAACACACACAGAGACACATACACACACTTGGATTTGCTAGATATTTCATTTAAATAAAGGATTGGAAAGTCTATTAAATTTGTCTCCACCAAGACTTTGCAAGGTCTGACCCTCCCAACTCCCCATTCAACTCTCATGTCAAGTTTTCTTGTATTCCGTGTCTTTCCCGCCGTACTAGCTTCCTTGAGGTTCCTCAAGTGCACGTGATTCCTTTAACCACAGGACCTCTGCCCAAGTTCTTTGCCCTGTCCAGCAATGCTTTCCCTCAGAAATTACCTATTATCCTTTAAGCTTTAGTCCAGTTTCCAACTACTTCCTCAAGAAAAGCCTTCCCCAACACGACAGACTAGATTAGGGCCCCTGTTTTAATCTCATGAATGTTTCATTCAATGTGATTTCCCACGCATTGGGGGGGGGGTGATTTCACAAGTCTTGGTGTAACCTTTGGGTTACCCTATCTCTCCTAGTGAATATCTATCACACTCTAAGGAGACAAGCACTATGTCTGGCTTTGTTCACCCTTTTGCCTCCAATACAAGGCTTGACACCTGGTGGGCACTCGAATATTTGTTGAAGGATGTATGTAGGCCAGGAGAAGCCCTGGCGTATGCTGTAATCTTGATAAACCTGTCGGAGCCCCCAACTCAATTTAGGTGAAACACAAACACCAAGATGTTAGTGTGTCAGTTGCACTAGAGAGATTCCTACGTATCTCTGCTTCCTCTCCAATGCCCTAAAATAAAGTGGTACAAAAGAACATTCTACCCCCAGAAAGGAAAAAAAGGAAATCAGACCTTTGTTCCTTTATTGAAATGGCCCATCTGAGCCGACTGGGAATGGTGCTCTACAGTGTCAGCCTAAACTGAACATCAACGCAACCCTCTCTTCTGGAAGTGCAGACTTTTATCAATGTAACAAAAGATAGTGTTTTTAAGAGATTGGTCTTGAACAGTGTAGTTCCCAAAGCTAGTTGGATTTCAGAATCAACCAGGGACTATTGAAAAACAAAACAAAACTAATTTCCAGGGTCCCATCCTCAGAGACTTTGATTTAGTAGTTCTTGGAATTTGAATTAAAAAAAAAAAAAATCCCTAGGGGATGCTGCTGTTTACGTAGGATTAGAAATGATTGGGTTGGAAAGATACCAGGCAGCTTTGGAAGCTCTCACTATGCTATATGAATTAGGACAACCCTAGACTCCATTTCCTTTCATGCTAAGTGAAGCCAACAATATTTGCTTTGCCTTCCTTAGCAAGACTCAAAACAATGACTTACAGATGATTTTGAAAAAAACAAAAGTCCTTTACAAATGCAAGGCAGGACTTTTAGAGTGGGACTGTTCCCAAATCACCAGAGATGATTTTAGGGAGTCCCGTGATTATTTCAATCTGAGTTAGACCTGGGTATCGTTAAAAACCAGTTCCCCAAGGTGAGTACTATACTGCATGCCCATCATATACAATTACCAGATTAATTTTCACATTCTTCCCACCCCATCATGTATTTAGGAAACCTTGATTTAAGTACTTATAATCTGAACACCTGATCTATGTTGCTCCCACTCCCACCTGGATCACTGCACTTCTTTAATGTGTAGGCCCCATAAACTAAGGTCCTGAAACCTTGTACTTCTCCAATTAATGTGAAAAGTTCCCAACTCCAATCATCCCCACAGACACCCCATTTTCTAAGCCTCATCTTCACTCACTTGTTTCTTCTCTTTTTTTGGTTGGTTTAATTCCTCACATGAAAACAGCCTTGTTAACATCCCAAATATCCCAAATGGGATTATCACCACTGGCATAGGGGTTAAGATATACAACACAGTTTGGGGAGGCACAGTGCAAACCACCGCATTCACCATCCCCTTTGCTGGCTGTTTTTCGGCTGTGACTACTCGTCCTCCACATTTTTTGCCTGGTTCACAGGGTTACCCTTTTCAGTCTTTACTAGAAAGTCACCTTCTACATGAGGTCTTCCCTGGATGGTTTGGAATTTCACACCCTCTCCAAGGCTGTGTGTTCTATTTTCTGCTGCAATCACTCCCGAATCCTTAACATTTAGAACAGGGACTGCTGCATGCCAGGAGCTCTGTCCATGTTGATGTAGTGAATACATGAATCTGGCTTAGATCGTTTGGCTCACCCCTCTGACACTTGTCCAGCACTGGCTCTGGCCTATGAGTTGATTTCAGTGATTTACTAAGAGCAATGTGGTACGGAGACAAAGAAGTCATCATAGGAGTCAGAAGGGGCAAGTTTTAGATTTTTGCTCTACTACTGTGTACTCCCCACAAGTGGACCAATAGGCAACATCCTGATAAACGGAGAAAAGGTTGAAGTTGTCAAGGATTTTGTTTTACTCGGACCCCACAATCAATACTCATGGAAGCAGCAGTCAAGAGATCAAAGGACATATTGCATTAAGTAAATCTGCTGCACAAGGCCTCTTTAGAATACTGAAGAGCAAAGATATTGCTTTACAGACTAAGGTGCACCTGACCCAACCCGTGGTTTTCTCCATTGCATCATATGCATGTGAAAGTTGGACACTGCATAACGAAGACCATAGAAGAATCCATGCAGTTGAATTATGGTGCTAGTGAAGAATATTGAACATACCATGGACTACTAACTACTAATTGAATTGTCTTGGAAGAAGTACAGCCAGAGTGCTCCTTAAAGGCAAGAATGGCAAGACTTCATCTTACATACTTTGGACATATTGTCAGGACACTAGTCCCTAGAGACAGACATCATGCTTGGTAAAGTGGAGGACGGTGAAAAAGAGGGAAGGCCTTCAACACGATGGATTGATGCAATGGCTGCATCAGGGGGCTCAGGCTTAGGAACAATTCAGGATGGCACAGAACCAGGCAGTGTTTCGTTCTGTTGTACATAGAGTTGCTATGGGTCAGAGCTGACTTGTTGGCACCTAACAACGACAACAACAACAACTGTGTATTTCTGGGAAACTCATAACTTTTCTTAGCTGCAATGCCTAGACCTAGGCATATCTACTTTGCAAGGTTGATGTGAAGGGCCCTGGGTCAGACACAATATATGTCACCTATTCATTTCTATCAGTTTGCCAAACTGTCATGCCTTGTATGTTGCTATGATGCTGGAAGCCCTTCCACTGATATTTCAAATACCAGCAGGCTCAACAATGGTGGGTTGGTTTCAGTGAAGCTTATATACTAAAATGGACTGGAATGGTCAGTCTAAAGCTAGTCTTCCCCAAATCTGTCACAGCAGAATATTGCCCAATGCAGTGCTAAAATGAGCCCCCTAGGTTGGAAGGTATCAGAATACACTGCAGCCACACAGCCATGGACCTGAGGATACCAATGATTATAAGAGTTTTATACAACTAAGTCACCACGAGTGGGAGGCCACGTGATGTAAAAATAACAGTTTCACGAATCTCTGTGCTTCCCTGACATCTCAAGTTTGGCACATAGGATTCTGGCTCTGTTCAGAGTCAGACCATCAGAGGTTTCTAACAGGTCCTTTCGTCTCTCCACCTTGAGGCACCAGACCTCACCCACGACTGCTACGCCCAATAGCATAGTCAGTCACTGATTTTACCTTGGTGGCAATGGCCGATACCGCAGCTGTCCTCTTTGCAGTTATGACATTCCCATCCATGACCTTGGAGAGAAAGGAGAGAGTGAACAAGGGGCATCCCTAGCTACTACTCCCACTGAGAGAGGCAGCTCCATAAGAGTAGCCCTAAGCATTTTACAAGAGCCCGCGTTGGGTTTGGTATCAGCCACTGGGATCCAGTGACTCCACGTGCAGGATTTACAACTTTGAACAAAGAGCTTAATCTCTAAGCACCGATTTCCTCACCAGCCATTCAGCAGGATATTATAAGGATTAAATGCACTGGCATATTTGAAAACATCTAGTACATGCCAAACCCATTTTCTTTTCTTGCCTGGAGTTTTGAATAACTGAGTTAAGGGGGAACTGGAGGGATACGATGAAACATCTGCGCATTCTACTGCATTGCTGTTGCATTTGAGCACTATTATTATGTACCACTGAGTCCATTCCGACACATGGGGAGCATACAGGGCAGAGTAGAACTGCCCCATAGGGTTTCCTCGCTTATAAGCTTTATGGGAGCACATCGCTATAAATCACTTTCCTGTGGAGCACCTGGTGGGTTTGAAAGATTTACAGCTCAGTTAGCTGCCAAGCCATTAACCCTTGCACCACCTGGGCTCTATGACACTATTGACTGGCTGTCAACTCCTGTTGTCCATTTGGGGAGCCATTTCAAGATACCAGAGCCTAGGCCCAACACTTGAATTACTTGAATCTGAATCTTGAGGGGTGAGACCTAGAAATCTGTATTTTTAGAAGGTCCCAGGTCCTTCGGATATTCGGTAAGGGTTGAGTTCATGTCTACCCTTATTAGTTATATATCTCAGGGGACCATTCCCAAGAAGAGGATTCTATAGGAGGAGCCTATAGAAATCTCATGTTTATGTAGGAGGATGTCAGAGTAACCAGCCTCTGACAATCATGGGGGTCCGTAGGAGCAATTGTAAGGCTATAATGTATAAAGATTACAGAAAAGTCAGAGAGACTAGGAGAGGTAGGAGAAAAGATCAAATAAAGGAGCCAGACACATTTCATGGTAGCCATGATCTTTGCAGCCAGGTCCACACAGAGAGCAGGAGGAGGAGAGGAGAGACTATTTCTGACCAAGGCCTATATCTCCTTAGGGGTGTGCAAGCCCCCCTGATTACAGGTAACCACATACGTCACGTCCCTATGATTGTACCATAGGCAATACAGCAATGGGCGGGGCTTTTATAGGTTGTCATTAGTCATGCATATTCAGGAGTTACCTATGTTACAAGGTGGGTGGTAATGACAGTAAAGTCCCTGAGCCCACAGGTGAGGAAACCCAATACCTGCATTAGAGGAATGCATGAGGGGGGATGGGTGCCGCGGTGGGAGGAGATAATCAGACTGTCTGCTTCTACAGCGAGACAGAATCAACTACGTGCTCACTTGAAGGCAGCAGAGCTGTTAGGGAAGAATCAGTGGGAATGACACTTAAAGCAGAATAATGTGCTTGGACTTTATCTCTAATTTAGCTTTCCAGGTTCCTTCTGTTAGAAGTTAGGGAATATAATCCCGGGCATAGTTCTTTCGGTGTTAGTTTCCCACAGGAGGAACCAAGCCACTTCGCTACTGAGAGGATTCAGCCAAAGGTCTGACATCTGGTTTGGTTTCAAAGCTTGGCTGGTCTCACTTTTCCTGGGAGCCACTGTTGGTTGGTGGTATGGATGCTCCCGCCACTGGATGTGGATAGGTTGGGAAAAGCTAGACACTTTTCCTAGAGGACTAGTGACTAGTCAGGTTTCCCTGTGGAGCAAGAAGCAGGGGGAAGAACAGGGAGCTAAGGATACAGAGAAGGCCCTGGTGGGATTAAGGAGAGCTTCTGACAGTGTCTCACCTGCCTGATCTCAGAGGTAGCTTGAGCTCACAGAGCACAAGGTCCACAGTTTGTCAGAACTAGGATAGATGCTAGGTTTTTCCCTAACCAGCTGTGGCCCCCAAGCCAAGTAGCTCTACTAACGGAAGCCTTGGGACCTCAACAGAAATGGATGGTGGGGAGGGAGGGAACTAGAATCTCCTATAGAGGGGCCTCACTCCTACCTTATTTGTGTGTGTTGGTGGGAGGGGTCTTCCCCAGCCCCACCCACTGAAGACCTCTGTCTATCCCAACTATATAAACGTGGATCAGTTGGGTAAAGTTGCTCAGTGAGTCTATTTCCTTATCTGCAAAATGGGGGAGTAATATGACCTGCCTCACAGAATGGTTAAAAATAATAAGAGAGTGAATAGGTGTAAAGTGTTTAGCACCAGGCCTGACATATCATGTGTTCAATGAAAGCGAGCTACTGCTATTTTATTTTAGTCTTATGTTCAAACAGGTCACTGTTTATAGAACATCCCTTCTCTTGCATGTTGACAGAAGTTCACTAAAAAATTGTTTCCCTGGCTCACAGGCTCCATCAAGCTGTGTATGTGGGCTGTGTATTTGTTGAAAAAGACAATGTTGCTTTCCACATTGCTTGGCACATGAAGCAGCAGTGGCTTCTGGGGATGGGGCATGCATCCTCCATGTGTGTAGAAACAGATGCACAGTCATACATCACCTGGGCTTAAAGACAGTCTGTGTGCTCCCAAGCCCCCAGAGCCCTAACTTCTGAGTCTACCTCTGAATCCAGGGACCCATGTCCACCCCAGCGCAGGGAGTTACTCACCGCCAGCAGGGTGCCATTGCTGGGCTCGAAGAGTAACACGGTGGCCTGATGAGAGGGGACAGTGGATGTGGTGCTGTGGCCCTCATAGAAGGTGACCAGTTTGGTGGTCAGGGCATCCTCTGCTGCACTGTAGGCGGGCATCACCCCCAGGAAACTACAAGGAGAAGGCAAGGTGCTTCAGTGCTCCTAGTTATCTATCAAATCAGCATACACCATCTCCTCCTGCTGGTCTCTCCTTCCATGATCCAGGTTTCCCTTCTTCATGCAGAC